ATAAATTTATTACAAATATTTAATCACAAATTACACATTGTATTAAATGCAATCAATAATAACCAAATGTAACCAAAATCATTGTTTTAGTAAATATATTTAGTACTATAAATGTCTCAATACCTGTACAACAATACTGTACCATTCAATTGAATATTTGGATTGTTTTATTTAAATACAGTATTAACCGATTTATTGTTTAATTAATAAAGAAACCAGTCATGTTTTTTATATATATTGCAACATGAGTCAATTGTGTACTTGCATCACAAATACAACACTCATAAGCAAATAGACATATTAATAAACATCCTATTACACTATAATATATATAAAGTTGCTGGAAAGTAGCTGGAACGCGGTTTCTCTATTAATTAATAATAAAATAATTAAAACAACATTTTATTTGCATTTATAAAACTTATTTTTATTAATAGAGCATAACAAAGGTAACATTCATTTATTATGACATGTTAATCATGTTTAATCACAACAATTACCATAGGATCTGTATAAATAATTTAAAGCCAAAACCAGTAGGTTGTAGTAAAAATGTTGGTGGAGATTACGGTGGCTTAACTATTATCTAATACTACATCAATGCCTAAACAAATAAATAGTTGTAACACAAATACATTAAATATATTTAGTGGTAAATCATTGAATTGAATATGTGTTAACTACTTATACCATTGTTTATAGAATAACAAAATACAGTAATATTTATAAAATATTCTGCAAAAATATAGTGACTTGATAATTTTATGACTATTAGAAAATGTCACTAATCATAATGACTTTCTACAAAGTATATTATATTTAAGTTAAAATTATTACTGTTAAGTTGAACATTCACAACCAAGTATTCAGACTTTGCAATAATAAAATATTCAGCAAATAAATACACATTAAATTCAATAATTTTAAAGTAAATACCATTTTTTAAAACACATATTATGGCTAAAAGTTGGAAAATATTGTTCGTGCCTTTCAGTGCCGGTATTGGACACGTGAACGTCTCCATAGGAATAGCACAGGTGTTGCTCAGCGCCGGACACCGACCCATATTCGCGATCGACGGCCACTGGAGGGCACGGCTTAGAGACTATGGCATCGATTGTTGCGATATAAGCGATGACTATATAAAAGACAACGAAAACAGTACTAATAATTATGTAAAAGAGAAGTCCCTATCGCTGGTCAGGTCGGGTGTTATCGGACCCCAAACTGCTATTTACAAAATGGTGAATACAGGCCGAGTAAAGTCGGATGTAATGACTCGACTCATTAAATTAGACCACCTTATGGTCACTTTATTGGCGTCGATGGCACCCGACCTTATAATTGTTGAACAATTGCTATCTATACCCGCCATTGAATTATCGGGTATACCGTATGTATGGATCAATGGTTCCAATCATTTGAGAATGTGCGATCATAATAGACTGCCCCCATCAAGATCAGGTATTATGATTTAAACATACTGTATATTCAGCACAAATGCTGATGAATAGACTATCAAACATAATGAGTGCTAATGTGACCAATTAATCGGTTGATAATACTGTACTATACGTTTTAATTAGCAATGCTATCATCAACTATAAAGTACTATAAATAAAAATTTATATAAATTATATCATTTAATAATAAACAGGTTTATCGGCGACGGATGTGAAAGAGTGGCACATATTCAGAGACGTCCGCAATCGGGCGTTCAAAAACATGTGGATTCAATACAATGATTACGTCATCTCAAGAGGTTGTCAGCCAATGAGAGAGAATGTGTTCGCGAATAATGACAAATGTCTCAACATTTATGGCTGTCCTCTGGAATTGGATTATCACGACTTGAGACCATTGCCTATGAATTACATCCGTTTTGATCATTTGATGCGAATCGAGAAGAATCTAGACTTTGAAATACCAGTGCAGTTGAGGGACAGACCGGGAAAGTTAGTCTACTTTTCATTGGGATCTATGGGTGCGGCAGATGTGGACAATATGAAGAGATTAGTGAATATTATGTCCAAATCTAAGCACAGGTTTATTGTATCGAAAGGACCCCTTCATGACGAGTACTCATTGGCTGATAATATGTGGGGCGAGGGGTCTGTCTCTCAACTTCAAGTGTTACCGTTAGTGGATTTGGTGCTAACACATGGCGGGCACAATACAGTGGTCGAGACTTTTTATTTCGGTAAACCTATGATTGTTTTGCCACTATTTGGTGATCATTACGATAACGCACAGAGAGTTCACGAGAAAGGGTTTGGTATACGACTCGATGCCTACAAGTGCTCCGAAGAAGAGTTATTGAATGCAATCGAAAGTCTATTAAATAATAAGGAATTGAATGAAAAACTGATGAAAATATCGCAAAGAATACAATCGGATAATAGTATCGCAAAACTGCCACAAATTATTGAAGATTATGTTATCAATCGTCAAAAATATATTTAATATGTATTTAAAAATGGATTATTTTTAATAATTTGCAGTTTTATAGAAATAAAGAGATTATTGGTAACACAATATTATTTTGAATTTATCAATTTTGAAAACCAATTAAATAAATTTATTTATATTATATTAACTTGACATATATTATATTTTTCTCTGCTTAATTGTATAAAATTAAAGTTAAATTATTTATATAAATAAAACTCAGAATTACAATAATCCTATTATATTATTTTATACATTAATGTATAAAAATTTATATCATATAAATTATATGTCAATAACTAAACATAGTTACATAGTTTAGTACACTCTTTAATAAACCATGTGTTAAATTTTAAGGCTAAACCGATAACATTGTATATTCACAATTAAAGTTTTTATAAATATATTGTCGTATAAAGTACTATTTAAGTAAACCATCAAATAAATATCAGTTGAATTAATAAAAACAAATTGACATTTTTGAACGTAAATGACATGTGTTTACATTATAAAAGTGATTATGAAATAATCTTTTGTATGATCTTACTATTTATTATGTACAATGATTTATTGTATATATTTTTTCAATATAAACAAATATAATTGTCAACACAAAATTAATATTTGTACTGACATAAAAGCACGTTGTGCATTTAATTTATTACCTATTTTACATTTAAAATTATAAGTATTTTATTTTTTCTAATTTCATTTTTTACATTTTAGAAATAGTTTCTAAACTGTAAAATGACACAAAGACTAAAATTCTTGTTCATACCGATTGACGCGGTCGGACACGTGAACGCGGCCACCGGTATAGCGCAGGTACTGCTATCGGCCGGTCATCGGACCCTATTTGCCATTAACGCCCAGTGGAGGGGACGGCTCCACAAGTACGGCATTGAAGAGGTGCTCATCACTCCCGATGACAGGAGCACTGATGTGGATCCGGCCCAACACTGGGCCGATCTGTTCGTCAGCGACGGCATCGTAAACGTGACGCCATTAGAGACAGCCATTAAGATTAGGACTGTATTAATGGAACAGTTTATCGAAGAGACTAAACGTTTAGATATAATTTTGGAGAAACTCTTAGCCGCCGAACGACCGGATGTTATCGTTTTGGATCAGGTGTTATGTATACCAGCGGTGGTGCTGTCGGGCATCCCATGGGTGGCCACATGTAGTTTTAATCCACTGTTTTTCATTAATGATGATTATACTCCGCCGTATATGTCTGGTATTTATCTAGATTTTTTGTCTATTTATTTTTAATAGTTATTTGTGCCAAAACTGTATATTGTTTTCCTAAATTGTAAATTACCTACACGTAGAATTTACATAAATAATGTAAAACCTTGTTATGCTTATGTAATTATATAAGACTATAATATGAATCATTTTAAAATTAGTTATATAAAATTTTCCATTAGGGTTACCAGCATCTGGTCCTAAAAGTGAGTGGATAAAATTCAAACAAGCGTTAATTGAAGCCGAATATCCCGTATGGAAACAATTCAATGATTATGTAGTTTCACGTGGTTTACCATCTCTACCATCTTCAGAGTCACAACGATTTATGATTGATTCAGATTTTATGAATATATATGGGTTTCCTCTGGAGTTGGATTACCTCGATTTGAGACCATTGCCTCCCAATTGGTATCGATTTGACAATCTTAAGCGTACGGAAAATGAGTTTAAATTCGAAATACCGGTGCCGTTGAGGGAAAGACCGGGAAAATTAATATATTTTTCATTGGGATCAATGGGTTCGGCAGATGTGGAAAACATGAAGAGATTAGTCAATATTTTGTCCAAATCTAAGCACAGGTTTATTGTATCGAAAGGACACAGACATGCAGAGTATGATTTAGCAGACAATATGTGGGGCGAGGGGTCTGTCTCTCAGATCCAAGTCTTACCGTTAGTTGATTTGGTCATAACTCATGGAGGAAACAACACTTTAACAGAAACCTTTTACTTTGGTAAACCTATGATTATTTTACCTTTGTTTGGCGACCAAGGTGATAATGCCCAGAGAGTACACGAGAAGGACTTTGGTATACGACTCGATGCCTACAAGTGCTCCGAAAAGGAGTTATTGAATGCAATCGAAAGTCAATTAAATAATAAGCATTTGAATGAAAAACTGATGAAAATATCGCAAAGAATACAATCGGATAATAGTATCGCAAAACTTCCAAAAATGATTGAAAATTTACTTTTGAGAAATTGATAAAGCTAAAATTATATTTAAATAACATTCATTCAATGTAATTTTTATTATCTTAATATAACAAAATGATTGTAATTCAGCAAAAAATTGCTAAAAGTGCCAAAATAAATTTAGACATCATTGGTTTAAGATGTCAACCATTTCTCAACCAATAGATATCAAACTTATATCATTACACATCACTTCTTAAAAAAGTTACCATGAACAAATATCCAGAATTTAGTAAAGCATTGATATAAACTTTAATTAGTATGTTATATAAAAGTAACAATATGTTTTAAACAATATGCAAAACAATAACATTAATTAGAATTTAATAATCAAGAACTTCATTCTTAACAAGATTTCGATAGTATTTTCGGTCAACTTTCCCAATGGCTGTGCGGTTGACCCGATCCACAAACACTACACCCGCCTTAAGTTGCTTAGTGTAGGCCAATGTGTCTGTTATTAGGTTGTAATCATCATTTACATCATTTACATCATTTACATCATTTACAATATTTATTCAACTAATTTATTACCTGAAACATATTTTTCGATTTGGGTACTTGTAATACCAGAAACATTGGGTTTAAGAACTACATAGGCCCGGGGCCAATGAGTGCCCGATTTGTTATTAACGCCCACAACAATCACTTCAGCGATGGACGGGTGGGTCAGTAAGTACTGCTCGATCTCAACGGGAGATATGTTTATATAATGGTTGCCAATTCCTATGCGAACCACTTCTTTGAGTCTATCGGTGATAAATATACGCTCCCTTTCGTCGTATCGCCCGATATCTCCCGTCCGATACCACCCGTCCTTATCTATGGCCTCTTTAGTGGCTTTTTCATTGTTGAGATAACCGGCAAACAGTTTATTACCCCGAACACATATTTCACCATCTTGATTGGGACCCAAACTTTCACCGGTGTTTAAGTCAATTACCTTCACTTCACAACCCGGCGCCACATTTCCGGTATTACCGGGAATATAATCTTCGTATGTGTTGGAACCGGTGGTGACCCACACGAACTCAGTCATGGCATAGACTATAATTATGTAATTGTAAATTATTTACATTATTCAATATTAATTAATTTATAGTTTTAAACTTACGTTCCCTGAGTTTTATGCCATAATTATCAATAATACATCGAGCGATTGGGGCGGGAAAAGCCGCTCCACCGGTGCTCATAGCCTTTAAACTGGACAGATCGTACTTATCAGCCAATCCACCCTCGGTAAAAGTGCGGCCAAAACTCGGAAAAGTGGGCAACACTTCAATCCGGTATTTCTCCACTGACTTGAGGAGCAACTCTTCGGTGAATGAGCCAAACAGTATGATAGGGACGCCACACGTGATGAGTGCCATTATCATAGACGTGCCACTGATGTGACCGCAAGGGTACAGATGAGCGCAAATCATTGTCGGGTACTCAACGCCCGGATGATTAAATAGTAATGGCATCTCTTCCATACCGGCGATTAACGTGCGGTGCGGTATCATTGCGCACTTGGGTGGGCCGGTGCTGCCCGACGTGTGTATGAGAAATAGCATATCCCGGTTTGGATCGACCGCGAAGTGTGGGTATCGGTCCAGTGTTTGACTCCCGCCCTCAGTCAACAGCTGCTCAAACGTGACGTGTTTGTCGTGAGTGCCGTCAAAAATGACCACAAATTTGACGTTTGCGGCGCTTGTATTGCGGGACTCATCTAAAAACCACTCAAACTTATGGAAGTTTTCGGCTGAAGACATAATAACAGTGACACCTGTGGCCACACATTCTTCGTGAACCTCATATTTCTCAAACGTTGGACTCAATGGTATGAATGTTAGGCCCAGAAATGTGGCCACAAATCGCAATACCGTGTGTTGTATTGAGTTTTGGCCGTAAAACGCGATTCTGTCCCCTTTGGTCACTCCCCGACCGATCAAAGCTACGGCTATACTGTTGGCTTGTCTTTTGAGTTGACCGATGGTTAATGTTAGGCCACTCACTGCCTCTGTCTGTAATAATGTTTGTAATAAATAACAAAACATTCATTACATACTGTATTTTACAGTTTAACTATTGTTACAGTTAGATAAATTAAACATTAATATTACTGTATAGCATTTAAATAGATTTTGTTTATATTTGAATTGTTTAGTGACAATTAATAAAAATTGTATAGTAAATATTTATTTAAAGTACATTTAGCATGGAATTTAATAGGAAAATATAATTACCACTATAATTAGATCATCATTGAATTGTTGCAATTTATGCCACACATATTCTCCAACCACTTTAAAAGGGCTGTCGGTTAACGGTTGTTTAGAACGCAATATTTTGTCCATGCTCATGTTTAATATTTTAAAGTACTTTAAAAATTAAATTACAATTTTTAAATTAAATAATATTTTATAAAGTTATATAATTTAAATGAGTTTGTTCGATTTATATACTGTATCTGCAAAAATTTTTATAAAATTAAACATGGTGTGATGTCTATTAAATAACTTCTCTATGTTTTCAGATATACTTTACTGTTTTTGTTAATATTTTGAAGACATTTAGAAATAATGTAGAAATGACCATGATTTTAATGATAAGATTATATTTACTAACTACATGTTATCCTAGATAATAAAGCTATAAGTCTGCTAATTGATTTGCTTTTGAAAACACAAAAACAATTATTAAGTTTATGTAAATGCAGAATAAAACTGAATAAAATTTGTTTAAAATTATT